TTGTTTTAGCATAATCAATCTTTTCTTACGGCCAAAATATCCCGAAATTATGATCTCAATGAGCATAATATCGAGTATCAACCAATCTTCAGCTTTGAACCAAAGTCGGTTATTTCACTACTTCCTAATGGCCAAGTTGTTCAACTAAAGGTTCTACGGTCAGTTAGTGCTTCATGACACCACACGACGGCCCCGTATTCTCCTCGATTCAACACAAGGGATATAAGTACCAACAAATGTGTCACACTAATGTAGCTATTGTCTCAACCATATCGATCTATGTCATACAGCGTCCACAATATATTGCTACTTACCTAATAATGTTCCCAGTTCCGGGTAGAGGATCTATACAAGAAACCCAAACATAGGCCCATAATGTAAAGCAAGAAAGTCAAACAATGAAAGCATTTAAAGGTGATCTAATCTCTAAGGTAACCCCACTTTTAAGTATATCCCCAGTAGAGTCGTCAGTTCTGTAATATGGTTGGAGGACTGACTTGGGAGTTTTGCATTTTATCACAATTTTTGCGGATAACAAGAGGTGCCACCGACTTTTCTTTTATCCAATAAAGGAAAAGGTGAAAAGAACATGAAAGACCTTTTGATATATTTTCTTGAGTTCGGGGGGTAGGTTATGAAAAGGGAAGGTGTTAGAACCCTTTTCATCCGTAGTTATCTACGGGCTCTTAGTTGCTAGCTCACTTTGAAATGCTTTGTTTTGAAATGTGTTTGTGATTGTTTGAAAGTATTTTTGAAAATTGCCTTTGTTTAGGAGAACTTTGTAATGATTCTCGTCTCTATAAGAATGTATACAAAGTGTTGACTTTTGAAAATATTTAATGAAAGTGTTGGTGTGTTTGAAAGATATTTTGTTTGAAATGTTTGTGAGCAAGAAACTATGAGCGTTCTACCTACTCAAAAAGTCTTTGTTCTTTTCCTCCTCCTTTAGATAGTGCTATCTTACCATTAGTTAGTAAGAAACCATATTATTGGATATGAAGGGACGGGCGTGGGTCATCGTACATTCATAGAAGGAAACATTGTAGGATACCTTAGCTATTTGTTGTGAGGGTCTAAGTTCATTTACCGAAGGCAACATCGAAGGGTCATCGAGGGACTACGATCTTGTATTTGAGGGTCTTTGCTAAAGTATCCTACGTTCGAGGGACATGACTGTTTATTCTAAGGAAACAAGTGTGGGTTAACCCTAGAGGTGCAAGTGTGTGAAGTGTATTATTTTCATTTGATTTGTCTTGAATTAGGATTGTTTATTGTTTGATTTTATGTCTTGTCATACAAACCCTAACTACTAGCAATAGTATTGAAAGCGGTAAATTATGGAAATTTAAAATCCTACACTATTACATTATTTAGGGGATGGGGATACAAATTAAAAATGGGAATGAAAGCAATTATAACCTAATTACTATTACAACCATATTGAATAATAGAATGTAAAATGTACAAGAATATAGAGATAGTGTAAAAGAGAAGAAAATTGTTTTCTTTTTATGGTTTTGTTATGAAAAGGTTTTAAAGTTAACCTAATTAACTAAAGAAATAAATTAATTGATTAAAGTCCAAGGTAATTTAAAAGATAAAATCAAAACCTAACTTTAAATTAATTAATTAATTTTAAGCAAGAAAATGTATTTTTAGATTTTTTTTGTTTAAGAGAAATGAAATAAAAATCTGAAAATATTTAGTCTAAGTATTTAGTAAAATATACATTTTTGTATTTTTTTAATAAAATAATAATAAGAAATAAAATAATAATAGAAAATAAAGAAAATAAAATAAAAATATAAAAGTTGGGTTAGGGGGTTTGAAAGTGAAAAGGATGTTAGGAAGTAAAAACAATTTTTGTTTAGGATCCAAAATTGCTTTTGTTCTCAATCAGAAAATAATATAAAAAAACAAAAAAAACATGGGTTGCGTGTGTTGAACTATACAGGGGGCAAGGGTGAGAAAAAAATGCACCGCCCAAATGTATGAGGCCCAGCGCTGCAAACAAAAAAGAAACAAGGAAAAATATGGAAGAAAAAAAACCAAAAGGTCTCGCTGGGGCTCGAACCTAGGACCTCTTATAACAATGTCTTACGCGCGCGCTTGCTGCCACCGGGGTGGCCTATACATCCGGTATAGAAACAACAACCAATAAACTTAACATAAAACAAGTTCATGAGGTCAACTTCATCTTCTTCCTCGCGCCAGCCAGAACTTCTGCAACTTATTCATTTCTCATCCATTCTCAAAAGTATGAACATCAAACTTGTTAGAAATTTCATCACGATTTCAGAAATGTAAATAACATAAGCAATAGATCAAAGACGAGCACGAATTTTAAATAGTACCAAATCCTGACCTAATTTTTCAAGAAGTTCAAGTTTAAAATTCTCACTACTCAGGCAACATAAATGAATTCTAAGGACATGGTTAGTTTTAGGGCTATGATGTCTACATTTTATCTTCACAAATGAAAACCAAATGATGCCTATATGAAGAGTTCAAAAGTCAGAAAACTCACTTTGAAAATGGAATTCGTGTTTTGAGTTTGAGAAGCTTTCAAGGTGTTGTAATGATCTGGTTAGCTTCCTTGAACCTCTAGGAAGCTAATGCAATGATTAGTTTGGATTGAGGATGGCTGAATTGTTCTGAAGAAGTCAATGTGCCGCACCCTGTTTTTGCTTATGGAGGATAGTGAAGATGGAGTTACACTTGTGTAACAGGTGTTGGGATGTGTTATATTTGATGTGAGGAAGCTTTAGGACTGATTTGGAGAAGAAATGCACGAGTGGTTTATGAGATGAAAGTTCTTGGACAGAACTGTGGTAAAAATGGATTTTTGTGCAATTTCTGGTTTGAATGAGTTTGAGGGAGTTTCAATGCTTATTTCTTCGTGTCCTAGGTTGCATAATAGTGTCTCAATTTATAGGAAAATTTTTTGAGAGCTTGAGGTGATCAGAAGTACAAGTACAATTTGAAAAGTCTTGAGAAAAGAGAAGGAAAATTTTGGGGTACAACAGATCGAATCAGAAGTTGAGTTATTCAGATTCTGATTGATGTGGAGACAGAGTTGAAAGAAGAAGTACTTCTGAGTACTTATTCAAAATTTCTGGGAGGTCCTATTTCTTGGTGTTCCAAGAAGCAACTATTGTTGCATTGTCAACCTGTGAAGCTGAATATATTACAGACGCTCTAACTGCATGCAAAGTTGTTGGATTCTAACTTGTTGCAGGATCTGAAGATCAAGGTAAACAAGCCTCTCAAGTTGATGATTGATAACAAGTCTGCAACCAATCTTGCCAAGAACCCAATGCTGCATGGGAGAAGCAAGCATATTGAGACCAAGTATCACTTTCTGAGGAATCAGTTTCAGAGTGGAATATTAGAAGTTGTGCACTGTAGCACCCAGAAGTAGCTGGCAGACGTTCTAACAAAGGCTATCAAGACTGATCAATTTCTTCGTTTGAGGGATTAAATTATTGTTGTCAGTTTTGTGTAAATATAAATTAAGGGATGGTGTTGGAAATAATTTATATTTTAGGAATGTCTTGTTGACTAAGTATGTTAGAGGGTATTTTAGTATTTTATTATGCCCTAATATTGTTTATAAATAGCCTAGTAGTAGGTAGATCAATGTATTCATTATTTCTTGTTTTGTAGTCGTCATTTAATATATTTCTTTTGTCTTTCATCTCTCTCCTTTGTGCACCAACAATTATTAGATTTATCACATTTAAGTATCAAACATATATTGGTATCATTAAGAGAAGATGGAAAGAACCTTCTCTCTAACCAAACCTTAGCTGCTTCGAACACATCCTTCCCACATGGAGATTTATCCGGATGCATATAAAAAACGGCAGGCCGCACTTCTTTCAAAGATAACGGACGGGTCAGCTTATTATTATCAACCTCGCTAATATTGCTCGGTACCAATTGAAGGATAGCAAGATGGGACTGTGATTAGATTGGCAAGAGAGACATTCTGAAAAAGATTAAGCCATGTCGGAGTTGCAAAAGCACACTCTAATATTTCTTCTATCATATGGTCTGTACCTCTACTCTTCACCCTTCCAGTGGGATATACACCTAATCGCAGTCGCTAACCGCTTGCCAAAAACCCGCACAAAGCCAGTTAGAGCAATGATTATCGGTGTTCTTTGAGAGTTCCTACACATTTATTAAAGAAATTGTGTCAATAATAAATGGATGTTTCACTTGTTTTCACGTTCCTGAACTAAAGCACGTCCGCATACTAAATCACGCTTCTACACTCCAATTAAGTGGGTCATGATAATAAATTAATAAATAAAATTGCAAGAATGTAGTTGATTTGTTTTAAATGTGAGACCCATTTTAGATTTTTTGATGAGTTACATGGATATTTGAGAATTGTAGATGGGTTGTTTAAAAAATTGAGAAGTGTGAAATAATATAAAAAATTATGTGGGTCCCATTTAAAGAACCCAAATGGGTATAATGGATGTGGATGCTCTTAGAATGAGTACTTCCTAAATTTTGATCACAATTTAGCGAATTTTTTATATTTTAATCGAGAAAGACTTTTTCATGGATCATTTTACACAAATTGTTTAAGATTTTTTTAATTGATTTCTTTTCTATTTTTCTATTTCTTTTATTTTTTTATTTTTTAGGATGGGTGAGATATACTGTATACCCCTCCATTTTTTCGCTCAGTCTTTTTTCCTCTTTTTTTTGTTTTTTGTATTTTGTATGAATTATCTACTTATGGTGGAAATCTTTTTGAATATTAAACAAAGTTACGCTACTTGTTGTGCATACTGCATACATAATTCATCATCTAGAAGGTAAATAACTTTATTAATTAACAATTAATTTGACTGATCAACAGTCAAAGCATACAGTTATAATCAAATCAAATCAAATATTCAAATTCAAATTACTATATATAGTATATACTTTCCTGCAGCCTCTGCCACCACTAGTTACCAGGTAGATAGATAATAAAAAATATGAGTATGGACGAGCGTTCCCAAAATAAGGCAAAAATATCTCCAGTCACAAGTGAAACTTATGCAGGTGAATTTGATCATATATTCAACTATTGAGTTATGTAGTAACTAATTTTTTATACGTGTAGCATTTTATATGAATTGATCATATGGTATTTAATGCTAAGTGTTAGCTGTTGCAGAAGTGAGCAGCAGTGAATGGGATTTCATAAAGATGAATGAACAAGAGGTGGATCTCATATGCAGAATGCACGATTTAGTTGGAGATAGGTAATAATCATGCATATATATATATATATATATATATATATATATATATATATATATATATATATATATATATATATATATATATATATGCAATTTTTTTGTTTATTTATTTTAGAAACTTTTTTCTTTGGAAGAACTAATTGATTTATGGAAACTACATTACACTCTGCAACAGATGGAATTTGATAGCAGGCCGCATTCCAGGTCGCAAAGCTGAAGAAATTGAGAGATTTTGGATTATGAGACATGCTCATCATGCAAACAGATATCATCAACGTAAAGCAAATTGAATTTAGGATTAAGAATTTTGTTTTAGTTATTCAGATTATTATTATTTTTGGAATAGGGTTTATTCTGAATTATTTGTATTATTACCTCTGGTTGAAAGAGTTTGAATTTTACTAGTTTTGTTATACTTTGTATCCACAAACCAATATATCTATTTAAGTTTATTTGATCATTTGTCATGCATTTGACTTTCTTGTTTCTTCTAGAATTAGTGCTCCTATATTACCAGGAATCAAGGTAAGGAAAGATCAAATTGATTAAAAAACCAATATATTGATTTTAGAATGCTGTTACTTCAAGTTAAAGAAGTTAGTTAAGTCGTCCCTTTCATTTAGTTAGCTAGTTTTTCCAAAGCATGTTGCAATCGTGTCTCCAATCGACGTGCTAAGATCAACAATCTTAAACAAGGCTCCAAATCTATACTTGATTATTTCACTTAGATGTGTGGACTTTGGAAATAACTTAACTCACACAAACCTATGCTTGTTTGTACATGCATTCATCAGTGTAGATGTGAATCTATACGTTATGCACAAGAATTCCGCCTCGAAAATCAAATCTTTCAATTCTTAACAAGTTCGAATGATAGTTTTTTAGTTATCAGAATTCAAGTTTTGTTAATGGAACCATTGTCAACTAACAAGAGTTATTCTATGGTAATTCAAGAGGAAAGTAACAATGTTGCATTATTTCATAAACTTTATAATAGTATTAATGGTGAAGAATCTAATACTCTGATTAATGTGTATGATTCAAGAAAGTCACAATATCGTGGTAGAAATCTTGTATCAACTAGTTTAAATGTGTTGGATTTTTTGAATGTGCAAATATACACAGTCGAAGTTATAGTAAGTATTAAAAGTAAGAGTACCGATCATACATAAATTGAACCAACTTAAATAAATTTTGTAGTCAAAAGTTGTGAATATTCATTAACAGAAAAAAAAAAATAATTGTTATTGTCACGAGTTCCATTTAATGAGTTTAAAAGAGATGAGAGCATAGGAAGCAAGGATCCATTTAATGAGTTTCACCTAATGTGTTAGAGTAATGAGATATGTTGTGATAATGAGGCCTAAACATGACCTAGTGATGTATGCCTAAAACGACACAATAAATGCATCAAATAGTTAAATTCTTAACTCTAACAATAGCATATATGCATGTCTTAGCTAAGTTTTGATTTTCCTTATGGTTCTAGTTCTTTATTTCTAAAGCAATTAGATGGCAAATATTTCTATTTATTTATTTTATCCATGATATTTATTAAAGGATTCCTCAACATTAATAAATCTTTAACTATTACTAAGATGATCAACCAATAAAACAAATATGTATCATTAAAACATTGACAAAATATATCACATAAAAGTGCTACTTCTCATTAAACTTCACATTGTTTAATATAAAGAGTTTAACTCATGGTGAGCAACAGAAATAGAATAAAAGATCATCTTAAGCTTAATATTTCTAAACAATAAGGGAAAGAAAATATAAACTTAAGAGTGACACTTCTACTATTTGCGGTCTTCAACTAGCAAAAGGCGAGTTGTGTCACGCCTTAATGAATGATATTCTTCAAGAAACGTAGGATTGTAATTTTGAGAGTGCACCTAAGAGAGGGTGAATTAGGTTCTCAAAAATTTCTTTAAGTTACAGATAATTTTGGATACTAGCACTTTTACTGGTTAATTTTTTTTTACTGTTTTATGATGGTGTTTAAGTGTGTGTTAATTTTTGGTTGATTAAGATAGATAAAATGATAGAAAGATAAATGCATAAAATAAATAACACCAGGATATATACTAGTTTCTCTTTCTAAACAAGGATACTCAAGTCCCCTCACACCCTGTGAGAGATTTCACTAGTTAGAATTGTAATAGCCATGCTGACTTTCTGACAACTTCTAACTCTAATCAAGAAAACACCCCACTTTCGGATTTTACAACACAGAGAAAGAAACATACTTTCTCTACAGCAGACTCATACACAGCCTCCCCGTTCTTATATGTCACCGATTTACCTCTCTGACCCACTCGCTGGACCTGAGGGATCCACGCCACAAAGGAGGTCAAGACGACGAAACTCTCCTGGTCCTCGACATCGAGCTCCCCCTCCCTCCAGAAGTAGGAACCTAATTTTTTATCAAAGTGCTTCCTCGTTCACTAGAAAGGGAACTTGTAAACCATCTTGTTCAAATGTTCTCCCAGCTCATTCAAACGGAGAGCCCCACCCTCATTAAATATTGGTACAATCCTGAAAACGTTCAACATCGCTTTGCTCGAGAAAGGATGCACCACAATATATTTGTCCTTGAAATGTCAGATGGACTCCAAAAAAGCCTTAAACAACTTCTTGTTGCCTTGCTTCAGGGAAACCCATCCCCACTTATCATCAATCCTGCTCCTCTGGAAATGGAAACAGTAAAAGAACAAAGGATGGTGGCCCCGACCTTGAAGTAGTCGCAAACAATCTCAAATGCCCGCATCAAAGCAACCCCATTTGGATACAACTAGGAAAGGGCCAATCAAAGATGACGAAAGACAGCCACCTGGAAATCTGAAAAAGGGAGTCGGAAAGCCATCTCCCATAAAATGATGTCATACATGGGGATCCTCCTCTTGTCGTATTTAGAGCAGATCCGGTTGTCTTTCCTAGTGATCCAAAGCGACCAATCCCCTCGACCTCCGTCATCATGCGCATATACCTCGGTGAAAACTTCATCAGGGTGTTCGAAGAAATAAGAAGCCCAATCCCAAGGATCTTGGACGACACAAGGCCGCATGTCCTCATCTTTGTCAAGCGTAAATAGGCAACACTGATCAATGGGGGCCATGTCCGCATCTTCTCCCCCTAACTACTGATCGAACCTGCGCGGTTCACCCCCTGAAATCTCCTGGATGCTCGACGTACTACAGGCATCTTTCGTAGAGCTCTGAGAGAATCTGATTCGTTCATATGAAAAATCGTCCCCAGTATTGTCGACCATAGCACCTGGAAAGCAGAAGATAGAGGTGAGTTCGACATCATCGCCATAACCACCCTTCCACCATTAATTAAGTGAAAGGGCACTGATAAACAAGGACTATGTCCCCGACCAGAACCCTCACTAAAGCATCTAAGTGAACGAACACTTCTCCAACAAGACAAACCCCGATCAGCAAAAAACAGCCTAAACCCTCAAGGGTCACCTACGATGTGTCACAAATTTCAAAAGAAAGCCCACGACGGCTCCGGTGTCTCTAAGATTGCAGAACCACTGTCCGCTTCCAACACTCGCCTAAAACACCCCCAACTGACAAAATCCTAACCCTAACCGCATGCATTTCAAAGGCTAAAATCAAAAATATCTAAACTACAAAGGTCTAATAACAACGAATAATTAAAAACTCACAAGTTAGAGAAGAAAGAAGGCTGAAGAGGGCGTCAGTGAGCAACAAATCTCCAAGAAGCAGCGGCAGTCGAACAAACAAGCAATAACAAGCAATATGAGAAAAGAATAAAAAGTACAGAACGCCATACTCCTCTCATACTTATAGCTGGGACCATCCGTGAGTGGGAGACACACGCCTAGGGAACCCTAGGGTCACTATCATTACACCCTATCCCCTAGGCCATCAATGTGAAACTTCGTCAACACACTACCCGAAACATGCTACCTCTTCAAATTCAAAGCTCAAAAATGGCCAACTCATCATCTCCTCGCGAGAAAGGTGAAATCGGCAATGCTTGTGCCCCTCAGAAATAGCGCTTCATCCTACGAGCAGGTGCTAAAGTCATCACTCATGTGCCCAGAAGCAACGACTTGGGGGCAACTGTTCTAGACTGGCCCGACAGCCTGTGCGGGCCCAGTCTAGATTCCTCCTTCGATAAAAAACACAACGTAACGCATGTTAATTTAATTAATTATTTAATTAAATTATTTTTGTATTATTTGTTGAAAAATTGTGAGATGTTGAGAATTGTTGGTATAAGTTGTTAGATTATTAATAATTAATTAATTAGTTAATTAATAATAATAATAATGTTGGAATTAATGGAATAATTGTGTTGGGCTTATGTCATTGGTTGGAAGTAGAAAAGTGAGAGTGTGTAGGTTAGGCCCAATAGAATTGATGTTATGAGGTTAAGCTGACACAAGGATTTGATTTAGTTGGAGAATAAGAAGTCTTGTACGCGACCGTGTGAAGCTGCACGGAGAGAGGATCAAGTTGCACGGTTGTCGAATAGAGCAAGGCAAGGTTGTCGGCCGGATTTTGGTAGAGAGACCTTCAATCAATGTAAGGGTGGGGTTCTGACCTTATAATGGGATTAATGATAATCGTTATGTGGGAATTGGGTGTATTTATGACTGTTGTACGTTGATGTTCTAGATATGTTATTGAAGTTACTTGTTTTCTATGTTGTGGTCGTTTAGGGAGTTACCGTATGACTGTCTTGTATGATTAATAAACATGTTATTGAAGTTGGTCGTTAGTCATGTTGTGGGCATTTTGAGTTGTCTGTATAATTTCTCGGTATAATCGATGAATAGGTTAGTGTAGATTATTACTTGTTGATGTGGTTATTAGGTTGTTGTATCTTCCGATCGGTTGGCCGAAAATTAGTAAATTATTGTTGTGGTCGTTTTAGGAAGGTTTTTACGTAACTGTCTTGTACCATTAATGAATCTGTTGATAGGAAATATAGTTGCCTGTTCCTGTGATATTTCGACTGGTTGGCCAGAAATTATGGGTTGTAGTGATGTGGTCGTTATGACGTTGTAATGTTCCATGCTATTGTCTGAAATTAGTGGTCGAGGAGGATGCTGATAGTGTTAGGTGTCGAGCGGCATTTAGGCTGCAAGGTGTGTCGGGGAATATATGTGTTGGATGTGGAGCGACATTGGGCTGCAAGACATGCTGAGGAGCACAATATTATTGCCGAGCTGCACGAAGTTGCAGGCTGTGTCGAGGAGCAAAAATTAGTTGTTATTTTGTCTTGGTTTTTGTGCATGTCGAGG